AAAATATCAAAAATTATATACAAGTTATAAAAAAGCTAAATGATATTTTTTATATCCAATTTATGTTGTATAAAATTTATCCATTTTTCCCATACAGCAAAAAATTTCTCTTGCGATTGCTCCTTTAAAAAAGCCGAAATCTTTGCCATTTCTGCCAGATAGGAAACTTTAAAAAACCACTCTTGCAAGGTAGGCAAAGATTCCTTCTTCCAATATTGCCCTACTAATAGCCTTGCGGCTGTAATCAAATTTAACATCAATATAACCTACTTAGCATCACAATCAGTAACAATACCTAACAAAAATAATTGCGGAGTAAATTTTACCCTCCTTCTAAAAATTCTTTGAATATTCCACCATATCTTAATCCAAAAAGCTTTTATATTTTTGCACAACCACCAAATATGATAATAGGTGGCGTCCAAACAGCCACATCTCCAACATTTAGGCTGTAAATCAGGGTACATAAGAGACATTTTTTGTGGATCAAGGTGCCATCTATAAAACATTTTATAAAAATTCTCCCTTAAGTTCTGGGCTTGTGTAAATTTAACATTCCTCACCCAGATAATTTCCCAGGTATCCAGTGGGATTGGTTCACCAAAATTTTGTGCCCATTTAATCATACAATCTTTGATTAATTCAGATTCTGAATCCAATTCCACTAGAACCCCGTAGATCCTCTTAATGTGAGTTTGTCTTTGATCCTTTACTTGTTTAAAAAGATTTTCATCTTCTCTAAGCCAGCCCATATTACAATCCATCTTCCATCTGTCCACTATTTGTCTATATTGAAACCATGAATAGGTAATATTTTCATGTACTAAATCTTCCAAAGATTTTAACTGCCAATTTTGACCATCCCATCTAAGTAATTGTGTATAAGAAACCCTATCCATTTTAACTCCTCTCCTTATCCCCTCTATCGCATGCCAAGGTATAGCCCATAAAGGTATTTTAAAATCACTCTTATAATACTTCCTCCAAACCCGAAGTAAAGAGATCCTTATAATATGTGATTTAAAAACTCGATCCACTTTTTTATTAAAAATTAAGTAGGCATGCCATCCAAAAAGTAAGTCCCAACCCTCCAGATGGAGTATTTCTACATTTGTTAAATTTACCCAATCACTAATCAATGTTAAGACCACAGCATCATAATATAATTTCAAATTCGGTACCTTGAGTCCACCCCTCTCACGAAAATCTTGCATAATTTTAAGCTTTACCCTTGGTTTTTTCCCTGCCCAAATAAATTTATTAATGCCTTTCTGCCATTCATTTAAGTTAAGCTCATTCTTTAAAATAGGTAGCATTTGAAACAAAAAAAGAAATTTTGGTAGGACATTCATTTTAATCACTGCAATTCTACCCATAAGAGATAGCTGTAACTTATCCCAATTCTTCAAATCTTTCTGTACCCTGATCCACAACTTTTCATAATTATTCTTATACAATTTTACATTAGAAACAGATAAAGTAACCCCCAAATATTTTACCTTATCAACAACTTCAAAATCTGTTAAATTAACCAAAATCTGCTTGTCCCGGTTAGTCATGTTTTTAGGTAATATTTTAGTCTTATTATTATTGATTTTAAAACCCGAAACACATCCATATTGATGAATCAGTTGTAGTAACTTTACTACAGAATAAGTAGGTTGAGATAGAGTAACCACCAAGTCATCTGCAAAAGCTCTTAACTTATATTCTTTTTTGTTAACTTCTATTCCTTTTATTTCCTGCGACTCTCGAATTTTAATCAACAAAATTTAATCCTTTAAAAATAAGCAATTTGCTTATATTATAAAGAGAATTTATAATGCTTTAATAGAATTGGATTCGGAAATGGATTTAGTTAAAGATTGAATGGTAAAATGGGCCCAAAATATTCAAGAACCGATTCCATTGGATATATGGGAGGTAATTTGGGTTAGAAATGTAAAATTTACCCAGGCCCAAAATTTAAGAGAAAATTTTTACAAAATGTTTTATAGATGGCATCTGGATCCTAAAAAGTTGTCTTGTATGTATCCCAATTTACAGCCCAAATGTTGGAGATGTGGTAGCTTGGATGCTACTTATTTTCATATCTGGTGGACTTGTAGAAATATAAAAGATTTTTGGATTAAGATTTGGTGGAACATTCAAAAGATTTTTAGGAGAAAGATAAAGTTTACTCCACAATTATTTTTATTGGGTGTTATTGTAGATTGTGATGCTAAAGAAATTAATTTGATGTTGAATTTGATAACAGCTGCAAGGTTATTGGTAGGGCAATATTGGAAGAAGGATTGCTTGCCTACTATAGAAGAATGGACGCTTAAAGTGTCAAATTTAGCAGAAATGGCGAAAATTTCTGCTTACTTGAAGGATCACTCACAAGAAAGATACATTTCGGTCTGGAGAAGATGGATAGATTATATTCAGAATAAATATGGGACTAAAAAGTTCCATTTAGTTTATGTGTAAATTTTAGAGTATTATTATTATTAATAGTTTATTATAGTTGAATTTTTATTAGTTTTATTATTATTTTTAGTATTAGTATTGTTTAACAATTTGGATATTGTATTGTTTAATAATATTGACTTGTTTATATTATTATGTTTATTCTTAATTTGTTTATATTTATGTTAAAGGAGAGTTAAAGTGCATTATGGACTTGGTTATTTATATAGTTGGTTAATGTTAGTTAGAGTTTGATTATTATATTTGTAACCCTGTACTCAGCTCTGGGAAGTGGGGGAGAGAGAGGGTGGGTTTAGGTGGGTGGATTTTGGAGTGTATACTGTAATTTTTATAAAACTTTTCAATTAAAAAAAAGAAGCAATTTGTTTTTGAAGCTTGACAAATATTGGATCACGACAAGTAGGCAACATGTTTATATATAAAATAGCTTTTTAAAGAGCTGACACTGAAGAGATATACAATAACAAACCCTGAATCAGAAATTATTAAATTAACATGTTTTTCTTCAAATGATTCAGAACTACAGTAATAGCTTAAATGCACAACACAATTACATTTTAAGCAGACTACTGAGACTTGGAGTGCCAGTTTACAAGTAAATGAGTCAACAAAAATGTATCAAAATATGTAACAAGTGCATTACATTGTCTAAGGGAATTGCTTTTGAAAATTGAGTCTTCTTCAGTCTTAATTTATGAATGTTAATTCTTCTATAATTTTGTTACTAATTAGCTATTGATTGTTGTAATATAAGAATTCTTGATTAGATTATCTATTCATTTGGTATGCCCGATCAGTTCTTCTCCAGATTAAATCCTTATTTTCATAGTGTACAGCTTTATCCACATGCTGCTTCATTTTAAATGAAAATTTTCTGGTAGCTGTTCTCTTTATAGTGTATTCAAAAACCATTGAATCATTCATGTCTTCATACTTATTCATACCCTCCTAAAAGTCTAGAAGGTTAGAGAAATCTGACTTTGCAGAAACCATGTTCGTTCTTTTTTAGCATAGTATGTCCTTATTTTCTGTTTAATAAAATTTCTACCATTTGCCATAGAGCAAACATTTAAGTAATTCACTTAAAGCTTCTTTTATCATTCTTATATCACATCAACAGTCAATAATCCAATATTTTGTTACTTCTGTTTGCCTCAGTTTGCTCAGTCTTTTTTCTGAAAAAGCCTGTTTGACACAGGCTTCTCTTATATGTCCTCAGAAGTGAAGATAGAAGCAAAACATTTCCATGGTTAGGAGGCATAACTCCTTCCATTCTTACAGTCTGTAACAATCACATTTTTAAAATTAATTCTGTATCTCATTGGCTGAGGCCAGAGGTTGGCAAAGCCGCCTGAAAGAATGAAAAAGAGATTAATTTATGAAGAAGCAAAGCTCTGAATGAGAAGAAATGTAACCGATCAACCATCATTACTCAGTTATAAAGCATCAGTAGTTACCAATAAACATATTTATGATTCTTCTTTATTTTATCTCCACCCACTGGCTGTGTTATACTTCTATCACAGTCATCCCTGTCCCCCATCCTCACTCAGTTTCTAATCTTTATATTCACTTTACTCTTTGTTTACAGATATGTATTTGTCAAGAACATGTAATAGCACAAGGAAATACTTGTAGTCTAACAAAACACTATTTAAAATGATTTCCTCAAAAATCATCAGCATATATTATTTCAGTTTCAGTTTCTGTAATAATAAATTATTTTAGAAAGTAATAGGTACAAATTTATTTTATAGTCCTCCTTGTTTTCTCATGAGGATAATGTAGATTGTATTTCAAAGGTTCGTGGTTTGTGTTTCTAAATTTAGACTAATTACCCTTTCTTGAAATTAATCCCATTGACTTCTTTTGTGTAAATATTGCTGAAATCCTGATCAGTTCATAGTACTTAAGGAGAAAAGCAGGAAAAAGATTGTCCTTGTCTGCCAAGTTTCAGACACAAAAGCAGACATGTTAGACTTTGAAATGTCAGCAAACTAGGTCACCAAATAACCTGTGATAAATTTGGTCTTTGTACTTAAAAATAAAGCAAACTTTGTAATCAAACTGCTGGTGCTTTTGTCTTTTTCCACCATGTGTGGAATCACTTCAGCATGACTCAAACTGCTGTTTGGCTGTCATTTCTATTTTCTTCTGTCTGGCAATTACCCTTATGACAGAAAGGCATCCACTCAAACACAATAATATCTTTGACTCATTTCTACATTCTGTAAAAAATTGTTTGTTACTTGATATGTAGAACCTGATTGTCATTGGTAATATCAGAAGCAGAACCTCTGAGGGGATTTAAAAAGACAGGAGTGTTTATAAGAAATAAACCTGCTCTCTTTGTATTATTATATATTTTAAAAGCTGCAAAGTCTTAAGCATTCACATTCAGCTCCAAAGTAATTAAATCTCATTGCATCACCTTAATTCTTTTTCGACATTCTAACCTTCTCTTTCTATGCACATTTGCAAGCAACGGCAGAGGAATGTTCTATTCCCCACCTATAGATGAATGCAGCATGCCCAGTTTTGGAATTTTAGGATTAGAGAAGTGGAGGGGAAATGAAAACTGTCTCAACATACCTAGATTTATTCGGATCATTCTCTAAATCTGTTAAACGATATTTTAAATAGGGACTTCCGGTTCCGGTTTACGACAACTCTAGCCACATGAGGAGACTCGTCTCCTCGACGGCTAGCCTTCCCTCCACTGGTCGACTCTTATACAAGTCGAAAGTTGCCATGGAGGGTGCAACTTCCATCGAAGAGGCTTTGGCTCAGCTGCGGAGAAGCAGCGGCTCCTCCAGCTGTCCGGGTGATCTCTGAGGGCTGATGGAGAAGAAGATCAGCCAGTAAAATGGCCGATCACCCTGCTGCTTCAGACTGCAAGTCAAGAACATCTAAGTTAAGAACCCCTGTGGTGAATCTGGGTAAGATTTTTCCTTGTTACTCTCTCTATTTGACTTTGTTTTCTGCCTGTAAAAGCTTCGTTGGAATTATTTCCCTGGCTAGAAAAAGCAGCTTTGATATTTTTGGGAAAGAAAGCGTTTCATAAGATTAAAATTTATTTTCATACTTTTTGGGATACAGAAATTTCTCTCTTTTTTGTTCTGCTAAGGACTGTACTACTATTTGGTGTTGGAAGATTATTTCTTCTTTCACTCTATACTTTTAAAGATAGAAACAAAGCAATGCTGTTTGGAAAAGATTCTTCTTCAACTTACTGAGGACATCTAGTGGCGAAAATTTAATATTGCATCTTTTGATTATTTCTTTGAAGTAAAACCAGACCTGACCTTCATTTTTTTTTTTTTTGGAAAAAGATAAACTGAGCTGTGGGAATTGTGGGGATGGATATAGATTAACTCTTACCAAATACAGCCTCCATAAACAAAACAAATAAATAAAACAAAAGACTATTACTAACTACTATCAAAATGGAGAATTTGCATTCACAATTAAATTATAAGCTTATATTGGAAAAGATATATGAGGCCACTACAGAAATTTGTACTATACTGAAAGAATCCACTTCAGAACTAAGATCTAGAAACTTCACTTCAAACATGCAAACGGATGACCAGACTACACTTGACTATTGTACAAACCAAATTACATTAGAAGAGGAACCAAATGAGATAAAAGAGAAGCTTATTTTACTTTACAAGCCTTTCATCGGTAACTTTGAGGAAGAGAAGAAGCAAGGACTGAGATTTGAAATTATAAAGCAACGATATTTTAAAGAGGAGAAAAACAGACGTCTGATGCATAGGATGGGACTTTTATTTCTTCAAAGGCCATTCCAAGCAACAAAAATAGACTTATTGATTGAAAGGGAAGCGTGTTTATTGAAACCTACTTGGTACAGGAAAAAACCTAGAATTAGACTTAAAAGAGAAATTTAAAATTGTGTAATGGAATAAAAGGCAATACTGGATTTATGGATTGTTTTAAAGACTAAGATTCAGAGTTAGAAGCAACTAAATATATATATACATATAGGAGCGTGATTATTAGAGTAGATATTTTAAATAGATTAAGAATGTATTGGATTGTACCTATGTAGTGTTTGGGAAATATATGAAATTTATTATTTACTGGAATTGCAAAAATGATGACTGCTTAGATTGGGATGCTTTTAATAATTTATGGAATGTTTTAAATTACTAGGATAGATTTCTTGTATGACAACAAAGACATGATAAGGCATTATAAGCTGGAGAAAATCTGAACTTTGTTTAATGAATATGAATGATTCAAGGTTTAGTATTATTTTGTTATTTTAAAGAGATGGATTGACTTTGGGATTACATATATATAGGGCTGATCAATATTTTATTGCTATTAAGATATCTACTGTATAGTGGAAGAAGAAGTATAAAATGAGGGATGTGAGAGATTAAGAATTAGAATCTATAATTTTTTGATTTAAATATAAAATATTGTATTTGTAAACTGATGAAGTTATAACACAGGTTTAATAGTGATAGAAATTTAAAATAGAAATGGAATATTTAAATATATTATGTTAACTGAGGGGAATAGAGAGGGGATAGTGAAATTTATTGAGTTGTGTTGTTTATATATATTTTCACTTTTGAATGTTTGACCACCTAACCATCACGGTGGGTCTTGAGTACTTTTTGTTTAAGAATGTTAAAAAAACCAATAAAATGTCTTTAAAAAAGATATTTTAAATAGCAATCATTCTTACAAACAGAGGGTTTGTATTCAGAAAATTCTGGAGAACAGGTCACAGAATCCTGTTTTGTCCCACAGATGAGAAGAATGAAGATATATCTACTGATATCTCATTCAGTGATTTTCAGTAAAGAAGCAAGTTCCATTAATTCTCCAATAAAAATGTGTGTTTTCCCTTCATTTAGGCTATAAAAATAAAAGTCTGGGGGGAAAAACCCATAGGGATATAACTTGGATCTGCAAATAATTCCTAATCTGTCAGGGCTGATCCAAAGCTTCATGCTTTCTTCGTGGCTCTTCCTTTCCATCCTTGTATAGACAACTAGATAAGCAGAAAAAAACACAGGTTGTATGTTGCTATTGGCTATGGGTTAATGTCTTCCCCTGCATCTAAAGGCAGCAGGTTAGCTTATTGGGTGCAAGAAGACCATATGACATAACTCACCATCTGGCTGCTACTTTTGCCTTCTAACATATACAATCTGAGGAATCTTTCATTCTCTGTCAATTGGTAAACTCTACTCTAGCAAATCAAATAAATTAAGGGTATCAAATCTCTGGAGTCCATCCACCATTGCCTCCTCTCCTTTCTTCAGATATTTCCACTGTGAATAACCAAACTTCAAACCCAAGTGAAACAAGAAAAGCTTGACAAAGTTTGCAGCTATAAAATTAGTTTGATAAATGACACCAAAAGTATGATAATATTACTCCAAAATCTATTTAGTTAGACAGACTTGGAGAACATAGTGTTTACAGACTTTATCAAAAATTAAATATAACTTATTTAAGTCTTTTTTCTGTGAGAGTATAGTAAATTATTATGTAGTTGGCAAATATCCATTTTATGTCTAAAATCACACATACATTAATGAAAATAGAAAGTGTATTGCTCCAAACCTGACACATTTAATTGGTGTATAATGAATTTAATAAATAAAAGCTATAATCTAGCCATTTTCAAGTTAATGGTGATTTTGCCTTTATCAGTTTTTGTGTTCTTTAGAATCCCAGTTTATCCACAAACTGAGGTTCATGCTACTTTGATAAATATGATTAAAACCATTTCCACTCAGCACTTGCCACTCCTTCAAAAATATCCTAGTGGGCTGAAGACTACAGAATTAAATGGCTTGTTTGGGAAAGTTTATAAAAAGATTTAAAACTTCTTTGTACAGTTGCCTTCATTATTTCAATTTTTTCTATGTGCCCACATTTTGATCCATGCAGTTAAAGCCATAGCATAACTATTTGGCAGTGACTAATATGGAGCTGGAAAGAGTCCCAATGATTTGGCATAGGATTGCAGCCTAAATTTAGAATCATGCCTGTTCCCCAGTTTCATAGGAATAAATGCCACTCTGCTCTAATATCAGAGAAAGTCTTGTAAAAGTGATCTAGGTCAGTGAGCAAGCATGATGATTATCCTTGTATTTATAGTCATATTTCTAAAACCAGATGTCTGGATGTATAATCATGGGAGAAGCTTCAAGGCTGTAAATTTTGGAAGAACTACAGTGTGGCTTATTCACCAAGAGAAATTGCTGATCAGTACCCACCAGTGGTGATGGTGCCGACCTAAAGCCGGCCAGTATAAATGATTTATTACTCATCCAGTAACAGATATTCATTATAATCCTTAGATGCTGCTAGTTCATTCTGTTTATACAACTATTTAGCGGCCATTTATTAAAAATAAAATTCATGTATACTTATTGGAAGTACAACTTGGCAGGAAAAGGAGATTGGCAGAAATATAGCTGAAAACCCACACCAACACCAGTCATATTTCTCATGACAGTAATATATTATTATTATTTATAACACATCAAAATTAAAACTGAAAGAAATTTCTTTAAAAAAATCATCTTCTTCTTCAACTTCAGCATTATCATCATCACTGCCTAAGCCACTATTTAGTTGTATTGTATAAAAATTTAAGTTTTTAAAGAAATAATCTGACTTATTTAAGAATTTTATTTAGAATTAGCTAGCTAAATAATTGAACATATCTCACATAAAGATAAGATCTGTATTTTATTATTTGAAGACTTCAAGTAAGAATTCACAACCATCTAGATTAAGAAAGATATGGCCCAGATATCTCCAATACCCCAGACTGCAGTTTTGGCTGAGAAACAGATGACAACCACAACTTCTTTTTCTATTGTAGACAACTGGTTAGAGCAGGGGGTCTCCAAATTTGGCCGCTTTAAGACTTGTGGACCAACTCCCAGAATTCCTCAGCCAGCATGGCTAGCTGAGGAATTCTGGGAATTGAAGTCCATAAGTCTTAAAGCAGCCAAGTTTGAAGACCCCTGGGTTAGAGTATCAAACTATTGTTCTTTGATCACTGATGACCCAATAAACACCATTGCACCAGGACCGACCACTCTTTCTTTGAGAGTTTATAAAACCTGTATTTTAAATTTATCTAGACATCTTGTTTGTTTTCAGCCTCTTTTTTATTGCGTTCCATTTTTCCAAGCATTAGGGTTGTCTCCAATTTCATTATATTCCAAGCTATATTAGCTTTAGCTTTACTATTAGTGCTTCCATTGAGCAATTTCATAAAATATTGAATTTATCAAATTAATCTTATAAAATTGTTTTAAAATTTTCATTAGATCATTGGATCATTAGATGGTGGGGTGTGTGTGGACACGTTGACCCCACCTAGCAGGTAGTTGGATTTGGAAACTCAGATTTATGGCCTTGAATTGTGATATGTCCAATGTGCTTTTCATAGGAATGTAGAAAGCTAATTTTTCCTAGAATGCTAGAAAAGATAACCAAACATTGGATTTGTGAGAATTTAGAAATGACCAAGGTGATTAACAGAAGCCAGCATTAACAATCTGAAAACAGATTGTACCAAACAAACCTTATTGTCTTCTTTGATAAAATGACTAAATTAGTGGATCAAGAAAAAGCTGTGGATGTAGTATACTTAGATTCAATAATAGTACAGAAAAAAGCAACAAAGATAAGATGCCTGGAGACTAAATTGTATGATGAATGGTTAAGGTATATCTAGTCTAAGAAAGAGAAGGATTAGGAGGGTGACATGATAGCTGTCTTCCAGTACTTTATGGGCAGTCACAGAGAAGAAATGGTTGAATTACTTGTCTTCTCCTAAATCTTTTTTTGTTTGCTTACATCTCTTTTCAAATGACATTTCCCAATCTGAACTTAAAATAGCTTTATTTATTAGAACAGGTGAATAAAA